CCTGATCTCCAGCCCTTGGCCTAGGGACATGAGAGAACGGACTTCAGGCCCTAGACATTCAACTCAGGGGAGTCAGACGGAGGCCCAGGCCGCGTGGGGAGATGTGCAGGCCACGGCTGAGCTGTGCACGTGGCTGAAGCTTCCTGATCCTCCGTCTTTTCATCTGTGAAATGGCACTAACCAATCTACCCACTTCATGGGCTGCCGTGAGGATTAAATAGGGTCAAGTACTAGGGTGGCGAACGTTGGCCATCACCAGATACAAACTGCGCAGGGGCTGCCTCCAAAGCTGCGGGGCAGGGAAATTGCCAGATAGGAGGCAGGGCAGCTTCTTGCTGTTTAAATTGAGCTTGGAATGAAGAAAATGTCACAAGAAGGAGAGCAGGCACCCCAAGTTGCTGGGACCACCGGCCCGGGGCTCTGACAGTGGGGGCAGTCTCATGATGTCCCTTGGAGAGCTGGTCTGGGTGTGGTGCAGCTGTGTGGGTGGCCTGGAAGCTTTCCCTGATATGGCCAGGCTGACAGTAACCAAGCCCATGGACAGGCTGGGCCATGCACTGTGGCTTCTGGCCCAGCTCCAGGCACGACATGGGCCCTCATCAAATATGCACCACAGGAATGGGGACTCTTCAAGCCCCGCCCCCGCGGGAGCCCCACTTCCGTGCTCAGGGGCCCAGATGCCCTCTGCCACCCAGGAAGGCTAAACCCTGCAGTGCACCACCACGCCTGGGGGCTTCGGTGAATTTTGTTTTTTTTTTTTTGAGACAAAGTCTCGCTCCGTTGCCCAGGCTGGAGTGCAATGGCGCAATCTTGGTTCACTGCAACCCCCGCCTCCCGGGTTCAAGCAATTCTCCCACCACAGCCTCCTGAGCAGCTGAGATTACACGCTTCTGCCACCACACCTGGCTAATTTTTGTATTTTTAGTAGAGACGGGGTTTCTCCATGTTGGCCAGGCTGGTCTCAAACTCCTGACCTCAGGTGATCCACCCACCTCGGCCTCCCAAAATGCTGGGATTACAGGCATGAGCCACTGCACCTGGCCGATGTTGATTTCTGTACACTTGAAACAAATTTCTGTAATGAGGAAACCATGTCCTAAGAGCCAACCAGTCACCGGGTCTGGAGTGGCCATTTCCACATCTCCCCAGCCCCAAGAAACGCAGTGAAGTCAGCGGTGGTGCGCTCCCTCTGGGACTTGCCGAGGGCCAGGCCCCTGCCCGACTTCCCTGGGGAGATCTGGGACAGTCGCTAAGTCACACAGGCCTGGAGATGGGGGCGGGCCGCCCGCAGACAGGCAGGACCTGTAGACGCGGCTTACTCACTGAGGGCTTACACAGGTGCAGAGGCACCGCAGATCCCCATCATGCATGAGGACAACCTTGTCACCTCCGTGGGACCGAAGTTCATCTCCCGCAGGCCAGAAAAAGAAACTTGGGGCTGTGGTGTCCACACTTGCCACAGCTTCATGAACACGCACCCCGGGTTCCCTGTTCTGGCCTTGTCTTTCTGGAGACCTGCAGGGACTGCTGTCTATCCAGGGGTTTCCCCTGGAGGGTGTGGGCACCGTACAGGAGGGGACAGTTTGAGAGTCAATCGGGGCAGGAGTTCAACAGGTCCTTTGGATGTAGCTAGACCTTCTCAGCCTGTGGCATTTGGGGCTCTGGGAGGTGGGCCCTCTGCTCTCTTGCTGGCCCTGCCTGTGTCCACCAAATCGCCCTCACACCTCTGGAGGGGTCCTCCTGCGTGGGTCCTTCCTGCTTTATGTAGCCTGAGGCGTGAGCAGCCTTGAGTCCCCGCAGGAAGTGGATGCCACAGCAGGCCCCGCTATTGCTTCTGGGGAGGAAGTCAGGCAGGAAACACCTTCCCTAGCTGGGCTTGCCTCACAAGCTATGTCAGAGCCGGCTTTCCCAACACTTCCTCAAAAGTAAAGCGTGGTGCTGGGCGCAGTGGTTCACGCACGCCTGTAATCCCAGCACTTTGGGAGGTCAAGGCAGGCAGATGACTTGAGGTCAGGAGTTCAAGACCAGCCTGGCCAACATGGGAAAACCCATCTCTACTAAAAATACAAAAATTAGCTGGGTGTGGTGGTGGACACCTGTAATCCCAGCTACTCGGGACGCTGAGGCAGGAGAATAGCTTGAACCCGGTAGGCGGAGGTTGCAGGGGGCCAGGATTGCACCACTGCACTCCAGTCTGGGCAACAGAGCGAGACTCCGTCTTGGGGGAAAAAAAAAGAATTAAGGTGGGGTGGGGGTGCGGGAGGCAGGTAGGGAGGGACCTCGAGGCGGCTGGGGGAACAAAAGCATGGGCCACAGTCTGGGCTTGGTTTTTAGCCCAGTTCCCAGGGTGAGAAAGCCCCTCTGGTGCAGCCATACCAGGTCCACCTGCCCTTTGTCACTGATGGGCCACCAGGCCCCTAGGAACCTGTGATTTCTATAACCGGCTGCAAGCTGCATCCTGTCTGCCCCGTGAGCCAGGAGAGCGGGCAGCCAGCCGTGGGTGAAGTAGAGAGAGCCAGAGCTCACTTCCCACCATGAATCCAGGCAGGATCTGAACTCCAGGCAGGGGAAGTGATGCTTTTCAGAGTAAAGGACCCACAGCCCTGTCTGTGGTCATCTCCCTGGACTCACAGGTCTAAGGACAGGGACAGTGGCCTCCAGGATTCTTAAAATCCGTCCCCTTCCTCTTCCCCATCATAGGGAAACTGAGGCACTTTGGGAGAACATCAAATCCTCAAAACACACCGAAGTCCAGAAACTGGGGCTTCCATTTAGGAAGACGAGCGGCGACCTTCCAGAAGATGGGTGGTCGCTGTGCAGTGACTTTCCAAAAGATGCCCCTTTGGTGTGTGACAATTCTGCCCCCGAATGGTTAAATCCACCAGGTGCCTTGAATTTACTAAGACCAGCGCTTGGAGTATAATGTGGAAACTAGAAAGGCCTGGTCCCTTGATCTTCCTCGCCAGTGGAACTTTTGATCTTTGGAGAGAAAAAAAAAGCAGAAATGAGGGCCTAGAGGAGGCTCAGAAAAACCAGCCTGTGGCCGGGCACAGTTGCTCACGCCTGTTATCCTAGCACTTTGGGAGGCCAGGGTGGGCGGATCACCTGAGGTCGGGAGTTCAAGACCAGCCTGACCAACATGGAGAAACCCTGTCTCTACTAAAAATACAAAATTAGCCAGGTGTGGTCGCACATGCCTGTAATCCCAGCTACTCAGGAGGCTGAGGCAGGAGAATCACTTGAACTGGGAGGTGGAGGTTTCAGTGAGCCGAGACTGTGCCATTGCACTCCAGCATGGGCAACAAGGGCGAAACTCTGTCTCGAAAATAAAAGAAATATAGAGACCAACCTACTTCAAAATGCAACTGAAGACACCTACTTGCACTGTATTGCTTTTTCAATTCAGACTACTCTGAATTGAAGATTTTACTGGGCAAGTTTAACTTCCCCTTCACCCTCTGAAGAATCACACTATCCACCTTTTAGAAATGCACTGCCTGAGGTCGGGCGCTGTGGCTCACGCCTGTTATCCCAGCACTTTGGGAGGCCGAGGCAGGCGGATCACTTGAGGTTAGGACTTTTGAGACCAGCCTGGCCAACATAGCGAAACCCCGTCTCTACTAAAAATACAAAAATTAGCCGGGCGTGGTGGTAGGTGGCTGTAATCCCAGTTACTCGGGAGGCTGAGACAGGAGAATCTCGAACTCAGGAGGCGGAGGTTACAGTGAGCCAAGATTGCGCCACTGCACTCCAGCCTGGGCAACAGAGTGAGACTCCGTCTTAAAAAAACAACAAAAGCACACAGAAATGCACTGCCTATTCATTAATTAATGCAGGTAGCTAAGGGCTCTTCTTTTTAAGAGACAGGGTCTCACTGTCACCCAGACTGGAGTGCAGTGGTGTAATCACTGCAGTGGCTCAAGTGATCCTCCCACCTCAGCCTCCCTAGTAGCTAGGACTAGAGCGGTACACCACAGCACCTGGCTTAAATCAAATCCTTTGTGTGTGTGTGTGTGTGTGTGTGTATATATATATATAAAATAAAAATACGTGTATATACCTGAGACCAGGAGTTTGAGACCAGCCTGGCTAACACGGTGAAACCCCATCTCTACTAAAAATACAAAATTTAGCCAGGTGTGTTGGTGGGTGCCTGTAATCTCAGCTATTCGGGAGGCCGAGGCAGGAGAATTGCTTGACCCTGTGAGGTGGAGGTTGCAGTGAGCTGAGATTGCACCACTGTGCTCCAGCCTGGGGACAACAGAGTAAGACTGTCTTAAAAAAAAAAAAAAAAAAAAGAAAGAAAAAGAAAAAAAAATGTGTTATGTACACACAGAATTGTTGTAACGGATTGAATCATGAATCTCCTTGGCAAGTCTGTGACCTCACAAATGAGTGTGAAAACCAGTAACTGAATGGAGATTCATGGAAGAGCGGGGCTTTCGCCAACAGCAGCCTTGCCATGGCTCTGATTCTCCAGGATCGGCGCCGGGAGGTGTGGCTGAGGGTGGCACGGCAGGGCACGTTTTAAGGACATGTTCAAAGAACTGTGAGATGCTATCAGAGAAGCGGTCTCCTCCCAGGTTAGCAGGCAGGCCAATCGTGAGATCAGTTTCCCTTTCTGGCCCATGCGGATGGGGCACGGCAGAGGCAGGGACCACGCTGAGAACAGAGGAGCCTCAGAGCCAGTGTGTGGGCTCAGGCAGGAGGGGCTGCCGCATGAGCTCTCGATGGCAGGGACTTTTGGCTCCCAAAATCGTATGTGAGCTGCTCTTCATCCATGGCTGGCTGGCCCAGATAGAAGGGTGGGTGGGGCCCTGGCCCAGCTCAGAGGAGATGGACAGCAGTGGTCTGAGAAACACCGCAAGTGGCACTGTCCCCGGGAGGCCGGGTGGGCTCTGCCCAGCGCCAGCCTCTGCCTCGGTCTGCGTCCCACCTACGCCGAGCCACCCCCGAACTTCCCCAGACAGAACCATGAAAACAGCCGAGAGAGCAATGACTTAGTGTGTGAAAGGCATGGATGGATTTTATTGATTACCCTATATCTACAATTTGAGGTAAAATAGAAGCAACACATAAAAGGGCCTATTTCTGCTACCATGTCATATAATTCTCCATTGTGAATATTGTGATAAAGCTACTGAGAACTATGCTGTCACAGAGCCTAGCTTCTTGTAGAGCTGGTATTTTACAACTCGCATTGCTTGTGAAATCTCAACACATGTAAGACTCTCCTAGGAAGGCGCAGAACGTCAGAGGTTGCATCCTCAGCCCCCTGATCCCTCCTCCCTCCCCGTGCTGGCACCTCAGGGTTACAAGAAGAACTAGGAAGTAACGCCGGCCACGGCGAGCCCTGGAGAGGGGGCCGGCTAGAACCGCGTTCCTAAGAATCCACGCCACAGCAGGTCCCGTCCCGCGATGTCGGGGCCTTAGTGTCATCGAGCTAGCCCCAATCCTCAACCCGATCTTCAACTTCTGGTACACCATGCATTTTATTTGGACGAAAAGTAAAAGTGGAAGAGGTTCTCTCTGTATTTACTCTGTAATTCACACGCTGAGATACTGACCTCTGACTGTTAGGTGATCCAGATGGTTTTGCTTTTAATTATGATAAAAAAACATAGGAACCATGAGAGATAGCTTAGGAAAAGGTTTAGTCAAATATACAGATAGGAACTGTTCACTCAGTCATTAAGGAGAGCCGTGAACAAAAGATCATTTAAATGATTTTTTTTTTTTTTCAAATAGAAAAACTAAAGAACTGAACTATCACAGGAATTTTTCTTCACTGCAGAAGCTGAGATGTTCCAGTAGGAGATATCTTCACTTGATTGGAAAATAAACACCGTAACTCAAGGCTCTGCTGAGTACATAAAAAATCTGGTGAGATTCATTCCTGTCATTTTCCCTGTCGTTTCCCAGCATTGCTGTAAAATCCTGATAATACATTCCCAAGTACACCAGCCATTCCAGACCCACAGTCACTCTGCTCTTTAATTCACAGAACTGCTGAAAAAGTAGACATTTCTATCTAAAAGTAGAAAAAAAGGTTTGTATAGAAGGTATTTCTGTTATACAAGTATATTACACAGCTTGGGGAAGTAACACGTCCGAAAAGCTCTTCTCAACCACTGATACTTTAAGCTAAAATAGGAGAGAAAACAAACAAGCAAGCAAACAGGTTAATCTAATTACAGGAATTTAACAGTCACGAATATCACAACTTAATTTGCAAATTCGGGTAACAGTGACTTGGATTCAGATGCGCTCATAAAGCGGGATGAAACCTTAAGTCCATGAGCTGACAGGGTAAGGCAAACTCCAGTACAACAAGTCTCTGGATTTAAAAAAAAAAAAAAATCCATTGTCAAAGTTTCCTGACTTCGGGTCTCAAGCTACTGCTCCTGTTATAAGTTGGCCAAATTTAAGAAATCCGGAATAACAGGATCAGACTTGTGAACTCAACTCTGCAAGATGAACAATAGATCTGCAGCTCTGTGAGACTCTGCAAAATACTATTACTACGGAAAAAAAAAAGTCAGTCTAATGATTCTGACTCATAGTGAATTCCAATGAGAAGGACAACGTTTACTCTATAGATTAGAAACAACATTCTTTTTAAGGCAAAAGTGCTTTTACATCTTTGACTGAGAGACATATATTGATCCAAGGAGAATCTCCCTGTTGAATCTTCTAGCTTAAACATCCAGGAAGGCTCCCACCTGGCTCCCACATTCCCTGAAGGCAGGGCCACCATCTTATGTGAAAATGGGGAGATCACATTAGCTACGCGTATGCAGGGGGTTCAGATGGACACCACACGGCATCCCTGACACAGAAGCTGATTTACCCTAGGAGGGAAGAGGTCTACCACGTGGGGTCTGGTTCTTGCTTGATCTGAGAGCTTCCATCAGTCTCTTTTATTTCTATCAACGGAAACAAAATGGTACCGATTAATTATTTTGCAGACCTGCTCAATGATAAATCCATTCGTACCAAACTGTTTACTAAGATATGGTTTAATAATAAGAAGGACAAGACACCAAACATCAAAAGAGCTTCAGAGAGAGAAGTCTCTCTAGCAACACATTCAAAATTTTGTTACTTAAGTTTTCAAAGTAACAAACATCTCCTGGCTTTTATGCATTTAAAGGACACACATTATGTTATCTAGGTTATGTAGCAGAGTCATTCACGGAGAATTTACCAAGTCATCTGGGGGAAATGGAGCAAAAGCAGCTATGCGTCATCTCGCAACAGCATAACCTGCAAATCCAATTCACCCAGAAGAAAGAGAGCAAAACCACCACTCAGTTCTAGTGAAATAGTTTAAACACACAATCCTTTGTCCTGGTAAAAAGTCTTGGCTGGGCGAGGTGGCTCGTGCCTGTAATGCGAGCACTTTGGGAAGCCAAGGCTGGCAGGTCACTTGAGGTCAGGAGTTCCAGACTAGCCTGGCCAACATGGTGAAACCCTGTTTCTACTAAAAATACAGAAATTAGCCAAGCATAGTGGTGCAGGCCTGTAATCCTAGCTACTTGGGAGGCTGAGGCAGGAGAATTGCTTGAGCCTGGCAGGCGGAGGTTGCAGAGATCACACCATCTCACTCCAGCCTGGGTGACAGAGTGAGACCCTGTCTTAAAAAGAAAAGAAAAGAAAGAAAAAGAAGAAAGAAGTCTTAAGGACTTGCAGGACCACCCCACCCTTTTACCTTCTGTGGCTGGAACTTCCAACTGGCTTGGTTCAGCTGATTCTAAAGAGAAACACAGAGATTGATTTCCACATTGTTCAACAGCTGCTTTATACTATGAAAGAACTCAGGAGGAGGAAGAGGAGAAAAGCCCTCCAGACTCTGTACAAACACAGGCGCATGATGAAACAATGCCCACGGTCTTGAGGTGGAGCACACAATTATCCAAGTGTACTTTCAAATTTCTGTTTCTCAAATGTGGTCCTAAGTTCACATATACAGTTGAAGTCTGAAAGAGCAGTCTTAACATAGCTCTACTGTGAAAACAACAAGTGCCTTAGTTATGCTTTCTTCCTCATCCTTCTGTTTACTCCCTTTAATAAAAGCTTTTCATTACTTTTTTGTTTTTGTTCATATGTTTGTTTTTTTGAGACACGATCTCCCTTTGTTGCCCAGGCTGGAGTGCAGTGACGTGATCTTGGCTCAATGCAACCTCCACCTCCCAGGTTCAAGCGGTTCTCCTGCCTCAGCCTCCCAAGTAGCTGGGATGACAGGCACATGCCACCACGTCCGGCTAATTTTTGTATTCTTAGGAGATATAGGGTTTTACCATGTTGGGCAGGCTGGTCTCGAACTCCTGATCTCAAGTGATCCACCCGCCCCAGCCTCCCAAAGTGCTGGGATGGCAGGCGTGAGCCATCGCACCCAGCCTCATTACTTTCAATGACTCACGTAGCACCGGGCCATTCCACTTGTTTTTTAAGGAATTTTTTAAAAGCATAATCTGTACATTTCTACTCAAGAACATTTTGCTCAATCACTTATGGCAGACATTAGAAACGGACGGCACAGAATCAGGTTAAAATGACGACCCTCTTTCTCTGCCATTTCATCCTATCCATTAATCCTGGGGTTCCTGATGTTAGGCCTGAGCTGGGATAGGGGGTGCAAATGGTTTGCAGCCCCCTGTTCTCAATCAGGACCCACAGCTTGAATTTATGTTTTGATCAGCTGTCAAACCCAGGAGTGAAAACCACAGAGAAGCATGTGTGTGCTGTGTAACTGAGTCCCCTCAGGGCAGGCGACTGAGTGGTAGGAGTAGCTCCGGGCCCTCCCCTGCCTCACTCACCTTGTATCACGGGGCCTTCTGACTCACTCTGATCAACCAGCTCTGAAAATGAAGCAGATTGGTTTAATAATGTAAGGACGTGTTGTTCCCTTTGACAAGCATTTTAACATACATTTGCTCAAGATGAGAAGGATACAAACCTCAGAGTTCTGATATGGTCCTCAGAATCACTAATTCATAGGAATTACCATAAAACTCTATTCCACACTACCGCACAAGAACAGGAACAAAAGAGAACATTTTATTTATGTATGTATTATTTATGTGAATAAATAATTTATTGAGACAGAGTTTTGCTCTTGTTGTCCAGGCTGGAGTGCAATGGCACGATCTCAGCTTACTGCAATCTCCGCCTCCAGGATTCAAGTGACTCTCCTGCCTCACCCTCCCAAGTAGCTGGGATTACAGGTGTCTGCCACCACGCCCAGCTGATTTTTGTATTTTTAGTAGAGACAGGTTTTCACCATGTTGGATGGGCTGGTCTCAAACTCCCAACCTCAAGTGATCCGCCTGCCTCAGCCTCCAAACTGCTGGGATTACAGGCGTGAGCCACCGCTCCTGGACTCACTTTTGTACATTTTTAATAATGAAGTTAAGAGAACAAAAACACACTTGGAAAACTAAGTTTGGCTTAAAGTACTACTGAAAATGACATCAATGTTAAGGAATTGAAAGGACATTTGTTTACCCGCTCGGCAATATTTGAAAGCCCAATGTGTGCCAGACACTGTGCTGAAATAGTAATAGAAGCAGGCACATTAAGTGACTGACTTTGGCACGAAATCCAAGCACAGTCATTATAACAGTCATAAAAGCAGTAATAAATATAGATTGTATTCGCTGAGCACATACCGTAGGCTAAGCACATACTATAGGCTAGACGCTGTTCTAGGTTAGGGGGCTGCAAACTCTTTTCTTACAGAGCCAGTCAGTAAGCATTTTAGGTTTTGCAAGCACACACTTCCTGTTGCCACCTCTCAGTTCTGCCATAAACAAATGAACACGATGGTGGTTTCAATAAAACTTTATGCACACACACCTCGGTGGGAGCTTGCTGACACTTGTTCTAGATGCTTTCCATCTACTGGAACGACTCCCCCAGAATCAGTGCTATTATTACCATTTTATGATTAAGCACATCTAGGATAGGAAAAGTTAAGAAGCTTGAAGAATTTTACAACTTGGAAGTGCCTGGTGTTTTTACTGAGGGCTAAAATAAGTATCTGGCATGGCTGCTGACGTAGGTGAAGGAACGTGATATACTTTAAACACATATACACACTCACACGCACACATGTCAGACCCCGGGGAAAAAACAGAAACACTTCACAAAATACTCACGGTTATTAATCACAAGTCCTGGAAATGGTCTAAAGAGAGAAACAAATTGTAAAGTATAATAATTTATTTTCACTCTATAAGGATTTACAGGTATAACTGTCTATTCAACTCATATCTAGTCCATGTCATTTACGTACTACAGTGAGAAGTATTATCCACGATCTTATAAACTTATGGAAGAGATAGATACGTATCCATAATAAGAACACTGTTAGAAAATGTTACGCAGTAAATGGAGGAAAAACAAAAAACAGAAACGCCAGAGCAGGGAACAGAGTGATTCTAAGTTCAATGCACGGAATAACGCAAGGGGCTTTTGGCCTAACTCCTGGGAATGATATGGAGAATGATCATGGGGGAAGCGGAACAAAAATATGAGATTTTGAGGGAAAGAAGGTTGGAAGAAGACGAGTGAATGAGAAGAAGCCTCAAGAGGATTTAATATGAGATTTCTGAGTGCCAGTCCTAAGAGATGTGAACTAGAGACAGTGGCAGTTTGATGATGAACTGATTGGGTAGGTTGAGTTGTAGCTAAGTTTCTGGGGCGCTGGAAGAAAAAGAGGAAGATAACCTGGGGTTGGTGCTCAGGTGGGCATCTCCTTTTTTTTTTTTTTTTTGAGACGGAGTCTCACTTTGTCGCCCAGGCTGGAGTACAGTGGCGCCATCTTGGCTCACTGCAAGTTCTGCCTCCTGGGTTCAAGCCATTCTCCTGCCTCAGCCTCCTGAGTAGCTGGAACTACAGGCACGCACCACCACGCCCGGCTAATTTTTGTATTTTTAGTAGAGACGGGGTTTCACTGTGTTAGCCAGGATGGTCTCGATCTCCTGACCTCATGATTCGTGCGCCTCGGCCTCCCAAAGTGCTGGGATTACAGGTGTGAGCCTCCGCGCCCGGCCTAGGTGGGCGTCTCTTATGGTAACAAGGACACAGGAAGGAATGTGGCGCTCAAATGGTGTTAGAGGATGAGTACAATCATCATGCCTGCTCTACAGGAGGGAGCTGACACTCTCCGTGGTAACAATGGTCACTCTCATTTACAGACAAGGAACAGAGTGACCAGGCTAACAAATGGCTGATGCGAGGTTGAATCCATCTGAGCCAAAGCCTGTGACACGGCGCCCTAAGACAGAGGTTGGCAAAGTTTTTCTTTCTTTCTTGAGATGGAGTCTCACTCTGTCGCCCAGGCTGGAGTGCAATGGCATAATCTCGGCACTACAACCTCCACCTCCTGGGTTCAAGCGATTCTCCTGCCTCAGCCTCCCGAGTAGCTGGGACTACAGGCACGCACCATCATGCCCAGCTAACTGCTGTATTTGTGTACAGACAGGATTTCACCATGTTGGCCAGGCTGGTCTGGAACTCCTGACCTCAGGTGATCTGCCTGCCTTGGCCTCCTAAAATGCTGGGATTACAGGCGTGAGCCACTGTGCCTGGCCAAGGTTTTTCTATAAAGTGCTAGAGAGTAAATATTTTAGACTTTGGAGGCCATGCCGTCTCAGTCCCAGCTATTTACTCACTGTGACAGGAAAGCAGCCATGGATAATACGGGCGTAGCTGTGTTTCAGGAAGTCTCTAAAAATAGGAGGCAGGCTGAATTTGGCGAACAGTCCTAGTTTGCCAACCCTTTGCCAAAGAATTAAAAGAGTTGGCTTAGGCAGAGGCACATCTAACATTCTAACGATGAAACAAGTTATCTTTATTTGTTCATTGTGTCGCACAGGAAGCCTGATTCGATGACTACCTGTGGCTGCGTTTTAGATGAGTCAGCCTCATGAGCTCCAGACTCGTTCCTGTGACTAAGCAGAAAACTCTCACTTACCTAATGACCGTGAATTTGATAAACTCGGCAGAATCTAAGATCCTTCTCATGGAGCTGATTTCCAGGTAGCTGGGGGCTTTGAAGGACACCCCCGGGGGCATGCCGTCAACCACCACACAGCCAGGGTTAATTGTGATTTTCCTGTAGGGAACTTTCACAGGAAAACCCATACCAATGGCTTCACCTACAGTGACAGTGAGACAAACAGCACAACAGCACAGATTAACCCACTGCCTTAAAAAGTCTGTCAAAAGCACCAGATCAACATTTATTTTAAAGACTGTCTCTGCTGTTAACTAAGGTCTTTGTACACGTCAAACAAATTTAAATATGAACCTTAAAAAAAATTTGTTTTTGAGACAAGAGTCTCACTCTGTCACCTAGGTTGGAGTGCGATGGCTTGATCTCAGCTCACTGCAATCTCTGCCTCCCAGGTTCAAGCAGTTCTCACGCCACAGCCTCCCGAGTAGCTGGGATTACAGGCATGCGCCACCATACCTGGCTAACTTTTTGTATTTTTTAGAAGAGACAGCGTTTCACCATGTTGGCCAGGTTGGTCTCAAACTCCTGGCCTCAACGAATCCACTCGCCTCGGCCTCCCAAAATGCTGGGATTACAGGCGTGAGCCACACTGCCAGACGGTGAACGTTAAATTCATGAACTTTTGTACTGACAATCCATAATATAACACTAATGGTATCTTATTAAATAAATTTAGCATAAACAAAACACTTACTTTTAAATTTTAATTCCTTTTCTATAGGAGGATTACAACCACCTAACCATCATCTGCTGAAAAGATCTTATTAAAACAAATCTCTTTGCTTATAGCAACTGTACTTTGCAAATGCAAAACTTACCAAATTTCCGACTAAAGAGGTCATTCACTTGTTCTCTTAGCTGTCTAGCTTTTTCAACTTTCGAGAGTCTTTCATTATCATCATCTAAAACAGTTCAGAGAAAATCCAAAACTTAAATACTGCTTTTTTTTTTTTTTTTTGGTAAAGAGATGGTATCTCACGATGTTGCCCAGACTGGCCTCGAACTCTTGGGCTCAAGCGATCCTCCTGGCTTAGTCTCCCAAGTAGCCAGGACTACAGGTACAAGCTGCTGCTCAATGATGCACTTTTAATCCCAATTTACAGGAGCTCTGTGTAATGTTTTCAAGCATTTGCCATTTTTAAATGATTTAAGTATTTGAGCACTTTGAACTCAATTAAATTTGAAATTGTTTAAAATAATGCCTAACTAAAAATGTTACAAACTTATTCTTGTTATAAAGACCTTTACCTGCTGTTTTATATAGATTTTTTATTTCCCAGACGGAGTATCGCTCTGTCACCCAGGCTGGAGTACAGTGGCGCCATCTTGGCTCACTGCGACCTCTGCCTCCCGAGTTCAAGCATTTCTCCTCCCTCAGCCTCCCAAGTAGCTGGGATTACAGCCACGCACCACCACGCCTGGCTAATTTTTTTTGTATTTTTAGTAGAGACAGGGTTTCACCATGTTGGCCAGGCTGGTTTTGAACTCCTGACCTCAAGTGATCCTCCCGCCTCAGCCTCCCAAAGTGCTGGGACTACAGGCGTGAGCCACCGTGCCCGGCCTTATACAGAATCTTTTTAAGGAACAGACTAGACACATTTGGGTGGTTAACAGGATTTAGCTCATGCCAAGTGCCAAAACTTGCGGGAGCTGTTTGGATAGCAAGTGTATTTGGAAGGCAACTGCTGTAGGGGTCTGGGAGGAGCGCCAGGCAATGTGTAATGTATCTGAGTACCTGGAGGGGCTGAGCAAACCTCTCTAGCTGGGAGAGTCCAAGAGGCCCTGAAGAGACCCCCACAAACGATGATGGAAGCAGAGAAATCATACCTGGAATTGTCACCTGAATGATGTTAAGGTCTTCTACACCTGAGGCAGTAGTATTAACGTTGGGTGATGAATTTATTTTTCCTGAAAATATAAATTTAAAATCAGAATTCGTAGAAAACATGGTCAACATCTCTAATAATCATGCTGTCTGAGACTGTTTGATCTCAGTCCTGTTCAAGGTTCTTTCTTTCCATGGTACATCATTTCAGGAAGACATGACGCCCCCTGAAGGGCTGCTTTTCACTGGTTTTCTCTTCCTGGCGGTGCTTAGGAGAACATCACACACAAACAGAGCCACCCAATTATTAAAGAACTGAAAACTGTGAAATAGCCCAAACTACAACTTTGAATGGGTTTTCCTTTTTTTTCTTTTTTTTTCCTTTTTTCTTTTTTTCCTGAGATGAAGTCTTGCTCTGTTGCCCAGGCTGGAGTGCTATGGTGCGATCTTGGCTCACTGCAACTTCCGTCTCCCAAGTTCAAGCGATTCTGCTGTCTCCTCAACCTCCTGAGTAGATGGGATTACAGGCGCCCGCCACCACGCCTGGCTAATTTTTTATATTTTTAGTAGAGACAGGGTTTTGCCATGTTGGCCAAGCTGGTCTCGAACTCCTGACCTCAGGTGATCCACCCGCCTTGGCCTCCCAAAGCGCTGGGATTACTTGTGTGAGCCATCGCGCCCGGCCTCAATGGCTATTCTTTAAACAATGTTTGTAAACCACAGCTGCACGGTGCACGCCTAAGAGTGTGTGTTCTATAGCAATGAAAATACAGAAAATGCACTCACTGGGAGGGCTCTTAGAGGAGGTGCTCTCCTTAATCGCCGTCTCAAACATTTCAGGCCTATAGACAAAAGAGAAAAAAAAAACGTGCTGATCAAACAGTAAAACTCTGACGTTAAAATGTAAACAACTCAAAGATTTACAAACCAGTAACTCTGTAAAGTCTAAATTCAATTCTTAGTCATGAAGAACAGAAATCATATGGTTATCTAAAGAACCACAGCCAAAAACACAAACCACAATTGTAAATTTAACATCCATCGCTGCCTCTCATTGGCCGCCCTTCCCCTATGCTGGTTTTATTGGCATCTTCTTTCTAAGGCTAGAATGTATGCTGAAAAGAATCAGCGCCAGACTTGAGGATGGAAAGAGAAAACGCCCCACGTGCGCAGCATGGAAACACAAGATGGGCTGTGAAAACAGGAGCACTTGAGGCTCTCGCTCCGCAAGTGGAAGCAGAGGGCTTAGGGGCTGCCAAACCTCTGCAGACCTGGCCAAAAGTATAAAAGGTGGGCCACTGGCCAGGCATGGTGGCTCATGTTCATAATCCCAGCACTTTGGGAGGCTGAGGTGGGCAGATCAAGAGGTCAGGCATTTGAGACCAGCCTGACCAACACGGTGAAACCCCATCTCTACTAAAAATACAAAAATGAACCGGGCGTGGTGGCACGTGCTTATAATCCCAGCTATTCGGGAGGCTGAGGCAGGAGAATCGTTTGAACCCAGGAGGCGGGATTTGCAGTGAGCCCAGATTAGGCACCACTGCACTCCAGTCTGGGGTACAGAGCAAGACTCCATCTCAAAAAAAAAAAAAAAGAGGTGGCCATTATGTTTGGCAAGGCCAGCTTTGCTTGAGAGCATCCCCGGGTGACTCAAAATTAAGCCTAACACCAAGTAAATGAAACCTAAAATTCATTTCAATTGATTTCAAGTAATTCATGCACATTAGCATGTACTATAAAACTCCAATTATTCTTATTTCTTTTTTTTCTTTTTTGAGACAGAGTCTCACTCTGTCACCCAGGCTGGAGTGCAGTGGCACAATCTCGGCTCACTGCAACCTCCACCTCCTGGGTTCAAGCGATTCTCCTGCCTCAGCCTCCCGAGTAGCTGGGATTACAGGCACCTGCTACTACACCTGGCTAATTGTTTTTTCTTTTTGTATTTTAAGTAGAGACGGGTTTTCATCATGTTGGCCAGGCTGGTGTCGAACTTCTGACCTCAAGTGATTTGCCTGCCTTGGCCTCCCACAGTGCTGGGATTTATGGCCGCACCTGGCCCATTCCTATCTATTTCAATCATGTTAGCCTAATCCACAGATGTTCGAGCAAACAGGAGAAATTAAAAATATTCTATTAATTTGGAGAAATAAAAGGACTTTAGAAAACTGAACAGCTGCTGAGATTCCTCAGCATCAAGCAGTAACAACATTCAGCAACCAAAAGTCATTCTCTCTCTAGTATGGAGGAGTCCCCTCCTTCCCTTCTAGTAGCAGCATAAGGAAAATTTCTTTTTTTTTTTTTTTTTTTTTTCTCTCTGGTACCCTGGGGTCCCCCTTCCCTTCTACTAGCAGCATAGGGAAAATTTTTCTTTTCTTTTTTTTTTGTTTTTGAGATGGAGTTTTGCTCTTGCTGCCCAGGCTGGAATGCAATGGCACGATCTTGGCTCATTGCAACCTCTGCCTGCTGGGTTCAAGTGATTCTTCTGCCTCAGTCTCCCAAATAGCTGGGATTACAGGCACGTGCCACCACGCTGAGCTGATTTTTGTATTTTTAGTAGAGACGGGTTTCATCACGCTGGCCAGGTTGGTCTTGAACTTCTGACCTCAGGTAATCTACCCGCTTTGGCCTCCCAAAATGCTGGGATTACAGGCGTGAGCCATCGCACCTGGCCGGAAAGTTTTAAACATAAACAAGAGTGCAGCATAAAAAGGAGTTTTTCTGACTCCAGAGCTCATTCAGCTCTGCCAAACATGAACCCACATACCCATCTCCCAGTGTGAAACACGATCAACTCATGCTAATCCCACTTCATCCAATTTCCTTACTTTTTAATGATGAATTTAATTTTGGCTTTGTTTCTGAGTATCTTCTCCAGCCTTGGAATGCCAAAAGTCGATGGTCTTCGGAATGGCACACCCTCAGGTAAGCCTTCCACGTAAAAGTCTTCCGGGAAAGACTCAAATAATGCGAACGGCACCTTCACGGCTTGTTTAAGGCCAAGAGCTTCCCCTGCAAAACAGCCGCGTACACAGAACAGAACATGGGCGAAATGACGCCACTCAAGCCTGAAAAACCCATGCGTTGCCAATGACTGGGACACTCCAACGCTCAGTATCCCCCTCTGCTCCCTTCTACTCCCATGAAGGCACCCTGCGCTGCAGTAAGAATGTTTCAAAATAGACTTACCGCACTTCTCATTGAAGAGATTTTCAACTTTCTGTTTTAGGTCCGTGATCTTGGCATTCCAGGCCTCTGTATATAAAACATAAGATAGTTAAATTGCAATGCTTATCACAGTACTCATCAATACATGCTCAGAGACAGGAATGTTTCATCTTATTTGTGCATCTTTTGTTTTGTTTTGTTTTGTTTTTTTTTGAGACGGAGTTTCGCTCTCGTTACCCAGGCTGGAGTGCAACGGCGCAATCTCTGCTCACCGCAACCTCCATCTCCCAGGTTCAAGCAGTTCTCCTGCCTCAGCCTCCTGAGTAGCTGGGATTACAGGCATGCGCCACCATGCCCGGCTACTTTTATTTATTTTTATTTATTTATTTATTTATTTTGAGACGGAGTCTCGCTCTGTCGCCCGGGCTGGAGTGCAGTGGCGATCTCGGCTCACTGCAAGCTCCGCCTCCCGGGCTTACGCCATTCTCCTGCCTCAGCCTCCCGAGTAGCTGGGACTACAGGCGCCCGCCACCTCGCCCGGCTAGTTTTTTGTATTTTTTAGTAGAGACGGGGTTTCACCGTGTTAGCCAGGATGTTCTCGATCTCCTGATCTCGTGATCCACCCGTCTCGGCCTCCCAAAGTGCTGGGATTACAGGCTTGAGCCACCGCGCCCGGCCTACTTTTATATTTTTAGTAGACACGGGGTTTCTCCATGTTGGTCAGGCTGGTGTCGAACTCCCAACCTCAGGTGATCCGCCCGCCTCGGCCTCCCAAAGTGCTGGGATTACAGGCGTGAGCCACCGCGCCCGGCCTTATTTGTGCAACTTTAAGAAGAAATGAAAAACGCATAATCTTTTACTACGATATGACTTGACAACTACTCCAGTCCTGATACATAAGCAAACTGTTTTAGTACATTGCTTTTATGTTGACTACAAGTAAGTGAACAAATGCTGAAATAAAGAAAAAACAAATGAAAACCCCCAAAATGCCCTCATAACTTATAGTGTCTACTACATGCGAGATATGGTTCTAAGTACTTTAAATGACAGTAGTTATTTATTTATTTTTTTATTTTTATTTTTATTTTTTTTTGAGACGGAGTCTCGCGCTGTCGCCCAGGCTGGAGTGCAGTCGCGCGATCTCAGCTCACTGCAAGCTCCGCCTCCCGGGTTCACGCCATTCTCCTGCCTCAGCCTCCTGAGTAGCTGGGACTACAGGCGCCTGCCACTGCGCCCGGCTAATTTTTTGTATTTTTAGTAGAGACGGGGTTTCACTGTGGTGTCGATCTCCTGACCTTGTGATCCGCCCGCCTCGGCCTCCCAAAGTGCTGGGATTACAGGCGTGAGCCACCGTGCCCGGCAAATGACAGTATTTATAATCCTCATAATAACCTCATGAGAAAGAAAGTAATGTTATTACCATTTTGCACAAAGGAAAAATGAGGCAGGGTGCATTCGCCTGCCTAAGTGGCTTCGGATTTGAACTCAGATCTGAACTCAGGCAGCCTGGCTCTATGGGCTATTCCTTTAACCTCGGATATATACTGACTCACCAATAAGAACAATTCACCTGGCAAAAGGAAACATGATTAACTTATTCTATTTAAAACGATGAAAGAAAGAAAAATAAAACGCATATTTACCAAAGGAAAACTCTCTCCCTCGTGGCTTGAAGGGAACGTTAGAACCATTAGTCTGGGTAGGGGTTCGAACAGCTGAGGTTTGAGGATTGTTGTTATTAGGGCCTGAAGGAGAGTAAAAATAACGATAATCAACACACATTCAATGACGTAAGTGTCCGTAGGTTACGATCTTCAAGTCCAGCCTGTGCCAGAAAACAAACCTAGGTTAAAATTGAAATGTGTATTCTTGTCATCCTGCAAGTTTCACAGAAACCATTTTTCTATTTCCACAGAAACCCATTTTTCTTTTCCTTTCTTTTTTTTTTGAGACAAAGTTTCACTCTTGTTGCCCAGGCTGGAGTGCAATGGCGCAATCTCGGCTCACAACAATCTCTGCCTCCTGTTTTCAAGCAATTCTCTTGCCTCAGACTCCTGAGTAGCTGGGATTACAGGCATGCGCCACCACGCCCAGATAATTTTGTATTTTTAGTAGAGATGGGGTTTCTCCGTGTTGGTCAGGCTGGTCTTGATCTCCCAACCTCAGGTGATCCGTCTGCCTCGGCCTCCCAAAGTGCTGGCATTACAGGCGTGAGAGCCACTGCGCTCGGTCCTAATTTTATATTCTTAAAGCCTCCCAGGCCCCGTGAACCTGGATCTGCCCTTCAGGAAAGGCTGGCATCTTGTATATAAGAGAGATCTTCCTCTGATCTTTTCCAGAAGGAGGAAAGTCAAGGGTTCAATATGTTTTTAATTCTTGGCATTTTTTAACAGAAATAATTAATCGGGTGTAAGTTGCCCAAGGATGCGTGTTGGCTGTCATAGGAGAAAGCAGGCTCTCTGAAAGGATACCAGATGACTAAATGGGGACTTCTGCGCCACTCAACACCAGTATTGCAAACTCTTACTTAAAAACTTGACACCTGGGATATAGAGAATGATCCTAATGCAGTGATTTCCTTCTGCATTTATGAAGAGATGGAAGAAATATCCATACTTGACTGTTGGTTGGAGATTGTCTTTAGTATTGTGTGCAGTATTTTAACACTGTGAGCCTGAAAAGATGAGAACCAGTTGGGCGTGGTGGCTCACTTGAGGTCAGGGGTTCGAGACTAGCCTGGCCAACATGGTGAAACTACGTCTCTACTAAAGATATAAAAATTATCAGGAGTTGGTGGTGGACACCTGTAATCCCAGCTACTTGGGAGGCTGGGGCAGGAGAATCACTTGAACCTGGGAGGCTGAGGCTGCGGTGACCCAAGATTGTGCCACTGCACTCCACCCTGGGCAAGAAGGCGAGACTCTGTCTCCAAAAAAAATAAAAGAAAAAGAAAAGACTTCCATTCAAAGCACTGCTGTTTAAACCACCCCGAAACTTTCTTTCCTTAAAAGAATAGAAAAAAAATGAAGAGGAAAAAACAAGATAAAGCATTCCACGTGACTTTGCACCCTTATTTGTTATGATAAAGGAAAAGCATTTTAGGGCTTTTCTTGGGAGCAGTTTATGATGTGATCCATGTTATCTTTTTTCTATTAATGGTTTAAAAATTTTCAATGAGAAACATTCAGAAATGTAGCTTTATCACAGGCAGCTGTTCACAGGTAAAGCTAGTTTGGCTAACATCATCCGTATAAACACATAGCTTGTGAACTGACACAATCAGTACTAACTAGAGAATGAACAGAAACATACCGAGGACTGGCCCTTACCTTCCACAGTGACCTCAATTTCGGGAACCTTTGAATTACTCCCAGGACTTCGTGGTCTTTTGGGGGATTGCAAAGCTGTAAAATAAGCAGATTTCCTTTTGTATATTGTAGGGAAAAAAATACAGAAGGAGATGCTTTATAAGAGCAGAGTATTAAAATTCATACAGTTTGGCTCTTTTCAAAGAAATGTAGAATTAAACTTGTAGTGTAATCCTCCACAGGGGCTCAACAAAGCTGTGAAAACATGAATGAACTAGGATTGCAAATGTGACATTTCCAATGAAATGTTTTTGTTTTTTAAAAAAGAAAAATAAGTCCATTAAATAAAATACCTTAGGCTGGGAGCGGTGGCTCATGCCTGTAATCCCAGCACTTTGGGAGGCCGAGGCGGGTGGATCACGAGGTCAGGAGTTTGAGACCAGTCTGACCAACATGGTGAAACCCCGTCTCTACTAAAAATACAAAAATTAGCGGGGCCTGGTGGCACGTGCCTGTAATCCCAACTACTCAGGAGGCTGAGGCAGGAGAATGGCTTGAATCCGGGAGGCGGAGGTTGCAGTGAGCCGAGATTGTGCCACTGCACTCCAGCCTGAGCAACGGAGCGAGATTCTGTCTCAAAAATAAATAAATAAATAAATACATAAATAAATAAATAATAAATAAATAAAAATAAAATAAAATAAAACAAAATACCTTAAAAAGCAAAGTAAACAACTACAAGCCCCACAAAGATATCGGCCGATTCCATATGATTTAAGGAATGCAGATTAAGGGTGTCTTAATGCGCACAAATAGGATACGGAGTACACGTCACCTCTTACCTTTAGTGTTTATTTTACTAGCCATCCCAGGAGGCAAGTAGGAAATAACTAGTTCAGGTCTAGAAAGAAAACCAAGAAATGTTACAGAAGCCAGTACAGTGGTGGTCTCACAGCCAGTAAAACGGTCGTGATGTGACCAGGGTTGTTTTTTTCTAAAGGCGTTCACAGAATCATCCTGTAACACAACAGTAATTC